CACACCAACAACGTTGAATTTACCCGCTATCTTCCAAATATGGTATATTAATTTATTCAGTTGTTTATTTAGAGTGACGTCCGCGGTCGAATGCGATTGGCTATCGATGTCAGTGCAAAGGTCATATGAATATTAAAATTAAGTGGGCGGAAGGAAAATTGTATAGGAGACAAGCTGGAGTCTCGTGTGGCGATAGCGATAACACCGGGACGAATGGTCTGGGGTAAAATATGTATGATCATCATACCAAGTTTGATTCAAATCGGCCCACTTATCTCCGAGAAACTGCTGCGGACACGTTTAGGCATCAGAAATAGCAAATTTTACATCCAAAATGGCAGCCATTCTGCCATTTTTGCTCCGATCATAAAGTAACGCGCATATGTAAGACATTATGTACTGTCTTCATGTAAAGTTTGAATGAAATCTGTCAATTGTTGTCCGAGATATAGCTCTGGACGTACGTACAGACAAAACAAACCCAAATTTATAGTCCCTGTTTTCGAACTCGTTCGAACAGTAACTAATAATAACTAAGACAATGCTAGTGTCCACTTCTAAAAAATTGACAAGATAGAACAATTTCAAGACAGGCGAGTTGTGTCAGACAGAAAAATTATCCCACATTCTTAAATAACCTTTTCACCACCAGTTCCCTCTTTTCATCACAAATAATAGTGCATCAACATTTCTAAGAGGTTGCATTTTTATAGATTATTTGAACTCGTTTGTCACCAAACTAAATGTAATGACCTAATTCATACATAATCCCCCCTTCAAATATTTGTATTTCTTGCAAATAGAAATCAGTTTACAGGGTTATCATTTTATCTTTTTTTTTATGTTGCATTCAGGGCATCAGTTTTGTATTATTTATATTGTCATATTTGCTGAACTTGTGGCTAAAATATTAAATGTTTTTCTTTCTTAAACTAACCAAAGTCTTGGTGTTTATTAAAGATGTAAAAACTTTGTGTATCATCTAATTGTTGTTAAAAAAAAATTTTTTTTTTGGCTCCACCCGTCAACCAAGCTGATAGAATAAAGCTATCTTTTCATCACAAATTCACAAAATAGTCCTGTTTATATTCTGCACTTTCCTTCAGAAGATTGCGACAAAAATAGCAGGATTTTTTTAGAGTAAAAACTGAAATTTGACTCAAATTTTGTCTGTTGGCTTCAAAATTAGGCTTCAGAAAAAACTGCAGACAAATTTGAGTGAAAAAGTGTGGCGGTGAAAAGGCTAGACAAGAACCTCACCACCCAGATAATAGTAAGCAACCTACCTGGATCAGTAGCTGAGATAAGAGCTCCAAAGTATAAACAATCTTTAAGACTAAAAGTACTCCATGGCATTAATTGTACAAAGCCATATACAATGAATCTATAATATTGAAATTATAATACGACTGAATTAGGGAATACATTTCTAGAGTTTTTGAGTGTCAGTATTAAGAGTGATAATTGAGAACTGAAAACACTAAGTGGAAAACATTTCCCATATACATCATTTACGCAGCTTTTAAATTTCTAAATTCACCTTGAGATTTGTAGTGAATTTTGAAAAAAAAAATTTACACATTTATTAACAACAGCAAAATAACAAAATAAACATACTGCATTAGAGTATTATAGACTTGGATAAGATGCAGACTTCATAGAAACACAATTATACATCCATACTTACCCAACAACTATGCAAGATATTGTGGTACCGATAAAAGCAAACATGAGAATTGCTCCGAGGTTTCGAAAAAAATGTTTCTGATGAAAAAAAAAAAATCAAGGATTTATGAATATTATTTAATTTCAGTTTTTATAATTGTATTAAAATGTAATATTGAAGATTACTGAGAATGCAGTTTTCTCTATTATAAACCCAAAAATTTCATTTTATGTAAAAATACGACTTCATGACCACTGCCAGATCATGCATGATGAGTGAAAGACATGATTTGAACATCTGCTGCAAAAGTCAGATGATTTGATTTTGAACTTGAAATTCTCTTTTTTTACAGTCAATGTTGAAATTCACATTGTTTCAGGAAGGAATATGGCGTTGACGCATCTTTACTTCATCAAAAAATGACTAATTTTCACTGGGTTTAAATTTCGCTGATTTACCATTTCAGGCATATTCAGTTGGTTTTAAATTCACGGTTGTATCATTTAGATAATGGGTTCTATGCTAAATTTCACATATTCACTGGGTTTCAATTTAGCGCATTTTCCAATCTGCGAAATAAGCAAAATTAAAACCCAGTGAATAATTAACCCTTTTACAGTATATAGCACATTAGTAAATTTGGAAACACCCAAATAATAGTATTACATTTGTCAAACTACCGGTACACGCAATGTTTTGATGTCACTACAATGCTATGACCATTGTTTAGCCTGTTTTTATTACTTTTGATTTCATTCGTAACTCAGTATCTTGCAGTGAATGGTATTTTGGTAAGGCATGTGTGCTACTAATAGAGCAAATACGAAGTTTCATTTTGGTATCAATTAATTTGTTATATTTATTTGTTCCAACCCTTTAAAATATTTAAATAAATAGGAGGTGAAAAAAATTCAGATCGAATGTAGCATGACATCGACAAAATTAGGTTCGTCTGAGATAGCTCCACTGTTAGTGATGTACTTTTAAATTAGAGAATTGAAGATATCATCACAAAATGAACAAATCTGAGGGAGGTCTAACTGTAGTACCTATATATATATATATATATAATATCAAAGCAATCAGACTTGTGCTTTTCAACAAGAAGTCGAAAATATCACTTTTTAAAAATAAATTACAAAAATATTCATCTAAATTTGAGAATTGAAGATATGATCATGAAATGAACAAATCTGAGAGAGATCCACATGTAGTACCTATATGTGTAATATTTGGACTTGCTGTTTTCAACAAGCAGTCGAAAATATCACATTTTACCTAAAATGCCAAAAATTTTCACCAAAATTAGAGAAATAACAATATCATCAACAAAGTCATCAGTGGAGCTAAAAAAGGAAACCAAAACAGTGTTTCAGGTTATTATTTGTTTAAGAGATTTTGTCTGGATTCATTGGCACTCACTATGAATTATTTAACTGATGTGGTGATTGCTGATACCTTTCATCTCAGTAACTCACTATACTGCATGCAAAATATTGCCATCAAATGAAAGTGCCCCAGGGTTTCATCTTCCTCCTTACAAAATAGGCAAGAGTAGTCTTTGGCAGTGTTATTTTCTTATTTTTTTTCTTTCAGTGAAGGACCTAGACTTAAATTTTACATTTGTAGTAGGATTGATTTAAAAACTTTTTGGATAATCGTAATATTATTGCAAGTGAATATCAAAGTCAATACACGACATTATAAGAAAAAATAAAACATGACATGTTCAATTGAAAAATAAATAAAACTCAAGGTAATGAAAAAATGTTTCTCAAATTACATTTCGAAAAAATAAAAAAGTATGACAGTTTAAGTAGTTTGCCCTATGCTAACACGTGGGCAATAGAATGTGTTCTCAAGAGAAAATGCCTGCATGTCCACTTCAAAACTACCATGTTACGGGAAACTATATTGAGCAGTCTTAAAGGGACATTGTCGTCAGAGATGCACATACTGTTCTCTGCTTGGTCTTACCTTTAAGTTCACACACTAGACGATATATGCAGCGCCAAACAAACATTGCTTGAAGTCGTAACTATAGTGCATTATTACAACAAGCAGCCTATCGGCTGAGATAGCTCCGCTGTTAGCAATGCACATTTCAATTAAAGAACTGAAGACATCATTAGAAAATGAACAATATGAATAGTATCAAAGCAATCGGACTTACAGTTTTTAACAAGAAGTCGAAAATATCACTTTTTACCAAAAATTACAAAAATATTCACCAAAATAAATTAATTAGAGAATTGAAGATATCATCACAAAATGAACAAATCTGAGAGAGGTCCACATGTAGTACCTATATATGTAATATCAAAGCAATCGGACTTACAGTTTTCAACAAGAAGTCGAAAATATCACTTTTTACCAAAAATGACAAAAATATTTACCAAAATTAGAGAATTGAAGATATCATCACAAAATGAACAAATCTGAGAGAGGTCCACATGTAGTACCTATATATGTAATATCAAAGCAATCGGACTTGCGGTTTTTAACAAGAAGTCAAAAATATCACTTTTTACCAAAAATGACAAAAATATTCACCAAAATTAGAGAATTGAAGATATCATCACGAAATAAACAAATCTGAGAGAGGTCCACATGTAGTACCTATATATGTAGTATCAAAGCAATTGGACTTGCGGTTTTTAACAAGAAGTCGAAAATAGCACTTTTCACCAAAAAATGACAAAAATATTCACCAAAATTAGAAAATTAAAGATATCATTACAAAATGAACAAATCTGAGAGAGGTCCACATGTAGTACCTATATATGTAATATCAAAGC